TTTTAAAGCCTCCCAAAAACCCGGGGGAGGGGCCCCCAATAAGGGGGGGTGGGGTGCTGTGCCAGAGGGTGGGGACTGCAACAGAGAAGGCATGCTTCCTTGGTCCTGTAAGATGTCAACATTTAACAGAGGGGACCTGGAGTGCACCCATTCTGCAGGAATGTACTGGGTGGGCAGAAACAGTTACAGACAAGCAATCTCTCAGGTATCCAGGCTCTGTGCCATGCAGGGCTTTACAGGTAATAACCAACATCTTGAATTGCACTTGGAAGCCAACTGGCAGCCAGTGCAGCTCACACAGCAATGGTGACACATGGACACACCAAGAGGGACCCATTACTAATATTACTAATACTAACCCTAATATCTACGAGATGCTCCCCTGATTCATTCTAGAGGACATTTTGTCCACTCTACTATTCTTTGCTGGGTACACAACAATCAATGTTCTGAATATTTTTAATGATTGAATTAAAATGATTTCCTGAATATATCTATTCACAGTCACTTCCATCAGCTCAACTGGACATACAAGGTATTTGTCAGCTTAGGATGGCAACTGGGACTGGAACTGCCATCACTAAGCAATGCGGTCATAAAGCGCGATGTCACGTGACCACATTGCTTAGGAACGGCAATCCTGGTTGCTGTTATGAGAGGACTGCATGGGTCATTAAGTGAGGACCTTAAATGACCACAACTTCCAACTTCCTGCCAGGTTCCCCGCTGACTTTACTTGTGGGAAGCCGGCAGGGAACGTTGGAAATCGCAATCATGTGACCGCAAGGATGCTGCAACAGCCAGAACTACAAGGACCCATTATAAGTACCATTTGTTCAGCACCATCTTAACTTTGAACAGTCGCTGAACAAATGGTTGTAACCTGAGGACTATACCTCAGGCAGTATACAGTTAAGTATATAAAATCTTGTTTAAAACAATGAAAAAAATTGAGTTGCAGCTTAATGGAATATGAACCAATGCTGAGGAAAGAGAGACTGGACATGATAAAATCTTAGAAGCCAAGACAATTATCACTGGCTCATTATTCCAAAATATCACAATTCACATAAAACAGACTTGCCAAACCTGGGATGGTCTCTGAATTGTCAGAATAATATTATCTCTGTGTGTTTTAATTTTTACAGTTAGAAAAACTTAAAAAGTTGATAAAACTGCAATGACATATTAGTCTGAGTATGTTTGTAACTTGCATCTAGATTAGTGTTGTTGATCCAATTATGGATTCATCATGCTAAAACTTTCATCTGAGAATCCTACACATCTGATCTATAATTTTCAATTATTTATTTATAAAATTTCTTCATCACTTTAGTCCAACATACTAAGGCTATCCCTTAGTGAAAATCACATCCACTAACCCTTCCAGATTAGTTATTTTTACAGCCCATGTGAAGTAGAGCACTTAATGCCACATCATCATTACTATAGGTAAAGGAGCTAGAATACTGTTCACTCAGCTAAAAAATTCCCATTCCCACATAGCACGTCTGAATATCTAAGATGTGATCAGAAACAAACCTAACATTTAGCTGAATGTTTTCATAGTGCTTTTAATATCAGTTTAGGCTCAACAAATAAATTATATCAGCAATCAGAATAAGGTCACAAACTTTTAAAATTGGGAAAAATATTTTCTTACTTTATTAACATTCCCTGATTTGGCAATAATTCCAAATGAATTTTTCCTCCTTCTTGTGTTCTTAAGTAGGCAAATTCTTCCAGCATATCAATATCTGAAAAAAATGCTCAGGTCCAAAAGAAAGTATCTTTCAAAACAGTGAAATTACTATGATCCATTATGCAATTCCTCTACTTTACTTTACTCTACATTACTGGTATCTTTAAAGTTCTTATCTTTATTTTCTTCACAAAGAAGATGCAAAGTATCTATTATTTTATTCTAATGCCCTAATTTAACTGTTGCTGTAATTTGGTCAGAGTTTTATCCTTGCAACAGACTAAAGCAGCAATCCTTCATATACTTATCTAAGAATAAACCCCCTTAAGCTCCAAAGGACTTAATTAGGAATATATACACGGGACTCTGCTACAAAGTTCTCAGCATCAGTTAAAGCATACCATATATTAAAGTATATGCTTGTTCTTTCTATAAAATAACAGAAAGGTTCAGGCACCATTCATAATGGTTTATTTTAATCCTGGTTTCCTGAATAAAGTACAAGTGGTCAGGTTTACATCTAATACAAAGCCCTAAGTTATGGTTTACAGAACACAATGATTTGGCTCATACAATGTTAAGTCAAACCAAACAAACAACATTAACCAGCCTAATGATTCAACATGTTCTTGAATATTTCTGAACCCATGTTTCTCATATCATGCTCTCAAAATTCCACTGTCCTCTTTATTTATTTGCTTTTTCTTTTTGTTTCCAACTATTCCCTATAATATTTCATTCAATTTTACATTTCTTAACAGGAGATCCCAGTTTAATTTGGAAAATATGGTTCCCTTGAAGAAACTGACTATCTCCAATTTTGGTCCACTGAAAACAAAGGATACTTGTAATATAGTTGAAAAAATTTTCATACTGGAAGTTTGCTTGCTGGCAGATTTTGTTAATTGCTTTCAAGAACAAGTTTTCACCCCTTGGCCACTCATGCTGAAGCAACACAATCACATGGCCCAATGCCATATCATCCCTATTGTCTGTGAAAGCTCTCAGCTGTTAGGGAAAAAAAATAAACCAAGCAATTTTAACAGCATCTCACACTGTAAATTTCAAACCAACACTTAATAGACAGACACACTCAGAGTTGTTTCACTTTTTATGTTACATATTTACATTTGTGGAGTACTGCTGACATAAATACTTTTTCTTAGTATTTTTTCTTTTTTTCTTTTTATATTTTTGTATACAAAGAACTTTTTCTTAGTATTCAAAAATATTCATATTTTCCTCAGTGGGCTATTCTAAGCAAGATAAAAAATTTGTGGGCTATTATTAGGACGGAATATGTTGAAAGACAAGTGTTTAGAGTTCTAACTACAACTATGTGGAGCTTAGAATGAGGCTGAATCAGTCAACACATAAGTTCCATTCAGGCAACATGTTTGTCTGTAGTGTTCACCAAGAAGTAAAGCTAAACCTTCTCCCAAGTCACATTACATCAGCAGCACTCCACAAATGTAAATATGTATAGCAGGGAAGCCTTCAGGTGCAGAATCCTACATATGAAAGCTATCATGTGAACTGGAATCTTTAGGACTGTGTGGAAGTCTTTTCATGTAGGACTTAAGAAAGGATTTCCCCACTGCAAACAAATATGTGGTACTCATGGAGTCTGGCAACACAGCACAACTTGGAAGAAGGGATGATCAACTCTGATCAAATAATAAGTACTATAAGCAAATGTACTATCTGAATACAGAATGGGTCTACATTTTATAAAAATGAGAAATTTCTAGGCTTTGGTCGGATATCATAGATAGTATAAGGAACAAAAATGAACTTAATCCTGGGACGTTTATTCAGGATGTTAACTTAGAAAGTTTGTAATTCTTTTACCTAAAACATAACAAAATCTTTCCTACCATTTTGCAGCATGACTGTGATAGCCAAGCCATTCATAGAAGAACAATCCTCCAGAGGTAATTCTATGAGTTTCATGTACCATTTTGATATACATATGTTAAGGAGGATTTTGCTATTATCAGGTACATATGCAACTGATGAATGGTATATCAGAATTGGTATCTGTATTAGCTCAGGCAACTAACTTACCACAATAAGGACAATATGCAATAATGAAATGAATAGCTGAAATGCTGAAAGTACTAATGCTGTAATGTTCTCAGTGTCAGCTAATAGTACACAATTTATCCTTAATAATAAAAATAATTATTCTATTGCTTCACTCATGAAGTCAATCCCTGATGTCTCTGAAAAGACCACCATTGCCACATTTTTCCAGTCTGTTATAATGACACTTCCCTGATGTAGCAAAGAATTAACATTGCTCCAACATTTGTCATGTACATGACACACTGAACATTCATATTAAAAAAATACACATGCCAAATCAAATCAGTAGTATTTCAAAACACATTCACAAATTTGAGATGACTTTGGTAGCCAATTATTTGTAGTTAATAATCTCCACAAAGTACATACAATGTGGGGAGGGGAATGAGACTCTCACTTCATGGAGACTAACATGAAGTACAAGGCCATTTTTCCTTCCACATTCTCTAAGAGTGAGGTGATCATTCAACTCACACTCAGCTGGAAGGCCCCAGAAGTGGCCTGCTAGGTCACTGAGTTATCTTTCTCATTCCCAAAGAAGGAATCAGCATTTATGAGTCTCTGCAAAACATAGTTTCTAAGTACTCTCTCACTGCAGTGGTAGGAGAAGCTGGCTCCTCTCACTATGCAAGAAGACTGGAAAATGGGGGGGGGAATAAAACCCTTTAGCCATATTTATTAATATCTCGCTTGACTCAACTATACAATTACAAAGTGGCTATAAAGCTGCACACTTAGCTGTGTCACAGGGTTACTCTTGGCCCTTTCTATGTAAAGAAATGGTTTCCTGCTGCAGAAGTTACCCCTCAACTCATAAAGGGCCTTGAAGTCTACAGAAGGTTAACATACAGGCCCATAGCCCCTTTGCATTTGTACTGATGTGCTGCATAAATGAACTTTTGCCTCTACAAAAGTTATCTACAATCGCAGATGGCTATGAAAAGATTCTTCTAACGGTGCACTTATACATGGAACTCTTACCTAGACTGAAAAAAGACCCCAAATATATAGAAATGCGCTTCTTTTTTAGAGATTGCTTAGTAATTCATTTTCCTATAAGAACATTTGTTATTCTTCAGTGTTTAAGTGGAAAACTGCTTAAACTTCTTAAACTTCAGTTAGTATAGTGACTTGATTACTAACTGGGGCCATATGTATGGACATGTTTATCTCTCTTAAAAATATTGCACTGGCTCACAATTCATTTAATATCAGTGGTATCAAATCAATGGTATCAATCAATCAATCAATCAGTGGTATCAAAAAGCTTTGCAAAAAGCAAAGGGGCTTTTTGGCATGCTGTGGCTCTGGATCTGTATAAAGAAAGCATCTTCCAAGAAAGCCACACATGGCCAGCAGCTGCCTCGCAAAGGGCCAGTAAGGACACACCTTGTCAGCAGCGGGAGCAAGAAGACGGCGAAGGTCAGCTGGGGCAGTGGAACACAGGGTGGCAGGGGACCAAAAGGGCATAGATGGGGGGGAGATAGGAGAGTGGGGGGAGTTGAAGCACCCCCACAGTCATAACTGGGCAAGCTGCCAAGCACCCGAAATTTTGATCACATGACTGCAGGGACACTGCAATGGCTGTAACTTTGGGGACTGGGTGTAAGTACCATTTATTCAGCACTGCTGTAACATTGAAGTCACTCAATGAATGGTCATAAGTTGAAGATTACCTGTATAATAACGATACTGAGGCCAAGATGAACAAAATGAAATTCTGGGGGAAAATATCCAAAAATACTATTATAACAACAATTTACTACAAACAGAATAACTTACCTTAAAACAAGCTAACAGTAATCGTAGGCAATATGGCATAACAGTTTTACTGGTACATGGCCAAAGCTTCAGCTCTGAAACTGTAGACAAATAATAGTTTTGCACACATTAAAATCAAATAGAATAAAAAGCACTATGATAGGTTTAAACGTTTATTGGCTTAAATATCTATAAAGTGTGTTTAAGTTATAGAAAGGCAGATTCCAATTGGAGGTTAGGGGGGAAAAACCCTTCTAACAGTAAGAGCAGTTTGACAGTGGAACTGATTACCTAGAGAAGTGGTAGGCTACCCTTTACTGGAGATGTTCAAGCAGAAACCAGGTATGAATGCTTTAATCTGTATTCCTGCACTGAACAGATTACGCTTCTTTTCTTAAATGGTCATTTCTATGTCTAGGAGTCTATAGTGTCAGTTTGGGTAAGCACTCACATGCCAATTTTACATAACAATTATGAAATAATTTCCTTGCCCTACAGTGTGATAAGCTACTCAGCTTTTGGTTGTTTTCACCTGTGTAGTACAGTAAAGAGCAATCACTCCTAGACCTGCTGCTACCAAATATCTCCTCCCAATGACAGCTGCTACTAGCTATTAGAATCCAGGAAAGGGGCTTGATAAGAGATAATTCCCTTCTTACCATTATCACTGGTAGTTCAAATGGCCAGTTCTTTTCTCCCAAATTATCCACTCCTTTGTCCAGTTCTGGGAGTACAGCACATAACAATTTCCAGCTAAAATGTGTAGCTGCTCTTACCCATAGTCCTTCCTAAAGGACAACATATTATCTTTATGTCACCTTGTCAAAAGCCCTTTCAGGATTTTAGAATTTTCAATATTATTTCAGTAATCAGTAATTTAAAATATTTCCAATTCACTTGTACTCCTGTACTCTTTTCCTTTACTTGCTATTTGGAAATAAGGTAATAATTTACCTTTTCTGAATTTTGACTTTAACGTAGGCTGATCGTCTTGTATTTTGGCTCCTTCTTGTATGGGAAGTGTCATGTAGCACATTAGATCAAGAATTTTTTCACAAGTCAACTACAAGAAAATGTGAGATAAATTATAAGTTAAATCTACACAAGCCAACAATTAGAACAAAAAAAAAATAGCCAGCAAGTGTATTACCATACTGTTCTTAGGAATCAGAGAAAGTACATTCATAAACGCAAAAAGATTTTCTTGATTCCTGAAAGCAGTACTGGCATGCAAGAAACACAGTCCAGCTCTAGGAATTGCTTGCAACATCAAAACAATCACAGAAGGGATAGTCTTTCTCCACTGGCATATTCTGTCCATGCTGTTCAGCTTCCAATTGGGCTGGTCAGCACAGACACCTAGCTCTTTTTTCTGGCCCTACAGGAATTTATGACACCATTTGTATCTACTGGGTGGCAGGAAAGCCCCAAGTAGTAGTAATATTGAACAGTGAATACTGAAGACTACCACTATAGTTTGTACAAGCAATATATGGCTTTCAGCTCCCAGCTTCCAGTTTTGTTCACGAAGAAAAAAACAAACAGTCCAGCTTGGCTGATAAGCAGACTTGGGTCCTTTTAGCAGGGAGCAAATACTGAATGCTTAGGATTTTTTATATCAAAAGTGCTGCTTAAAGTAACTTATTTTTTTGCAAGCCAAGAACCTGCTGTTTAGCCATCACTAATTGTTATTGCTAAATGAAAATTCTGTGTTGCTGAACATGTGAATTACAAAAGAGACTGAGGCTGCTTAAGGCAACTGACTAGATTTGTGGATGAGATGGTATTTGAATTAGGCAGCCTCCCTATTCACAGACTTAGCTAATACACTACAATAGAACTTGCATTACAAATTATAAGACTCCTAATGGACACAATGTGATTCTTCTGCAAATTAAATTTACTAAGAAAAAAGCAATCTATGCAATCATATTTGGCTTCCAGTCTTCATTCCAAAGGCTTGCTCGTCTTTCTCCTAAGAGATGAAAGCTACAGGGATGTGTCTACAGTTTTACATACCAATAAGCCATCAAGTATTTGTAATTAAACAATAGGTTTAAAAACAGCACCGAAAGGCACAACTCATTCACTACCATCTGGCATTTGCAGGTAAAACTGGGAGATCTTAGTGCAAGATCTAAAATGGGTGCACAATTCCAAGTGCAGATGTTTGTGTGTACATGCGTGTGTGTGTGTGCATGTGTGTAATCATAATTATTACCCCAAATTAATCCACTGCAGAACAAAAGCCTCTTCACTGATGGACCACAATCTACCATACTGGTCTAGTATGTGGTAGAGATGTTTTTCAATTTCCCAGTCTAGGGCTGAGAGTTATCGGCCCAAAGTCACCCAGCCAGCTTCTGGGCCTAAATGTAAGTAATGTAAATAAATGTAAATAATGTAGGTACATGTATGTGTGCGTGTGTGTGTGTGTAAATTATACACTATACATACAGTACTTGTTAGAGTTATCTCCCATTTTCATACAGGAGCTGAAGATGGCATAGGTAGTGCTCCCTTCTGCTACTTTTCCCAACAATATGGCATGTGAAGTAGATCTGGCTGACAGAGTGACTGGCCCAGTCACCCAGTGAACTGCTGTGGCCGAGGATGGACTAGAACCTGAATCCATAGTGCCAGTCCAACACCTTAGCCACTATAGCACATTGGTTCTCAGTGTAATGTAAATATTATCCACTACACTGGTGCATTTATCAATTTGCATGAAATGAAAGCAGATCGGCTTTATATAAATGAATATAGTATTCACTCACCCTGGTTGAATTCAAAGGCAAAGTCAATGTCAAATTCATTTGCAAAAGTAGTTTTAAATATTTTGTCTGGCCTCCACAACTTGATTAACAGCCTGCATTTCCCATAAATCCCAGTTTTATTAGCAGTAGAAAGCATCCAGAAAGGAAGGAAGGAAAGGAACTGAACTAAAAAACCCCAACCAAACAGAAGAGCTTACATGATATTCTCCGAGGGCAAAATGACAGGTGGCTAACTGGATTAGGAATCGCTGATTCTCTAGTGATCCTTGCCCCATGATTTGCTGTGCGGAATGAGATCCTTGCAGAGCTGCTAAGTGATGCAAACTGGCAATTGCTTTTTTATATTGACCCTTTTAAAAGAGTAAAAGTCAAATCACTAAAAAATTTAATGTTCCATTTTGCAATACAAATAATTTACAAAAGTTCCAAGATTTCCAGACAGTAAATTTCTGTTTTCATACAGAAATAAACACATATTAATACTGACAGGTATAGCACAAATAATTAGCTTCACATAAACTTTTTATAGATCTTAAAAGAACCTCATAATGTTGATGAGCATTATCCTTCTTATATTCCAGTTTGAAAGAAAAAACAATATGCCTAAAGCCAGTTCATGAATTTATGAAAGAGGCAAGATTTAAATTAGTGGTTTAATAATTAACCAGCACTTTATACTTTTTGAGTGTTTAAAGTGCTTTAGGTATTTCTTCATTAAATATTTCAAGAACTTAAGAAGGGGGATGCTACTTATTCTTCTATCTATGATCCATCCAATTGTAGGGAGTTATAGAGAGAATCTTGAAGAAACAATTCAGACGCCATTAGGACAATAACAGGTACAAAAGCATGCATTAAGTCTAGGAAGGCAGGACAATATTAGAAAGAGAGTCAGACTGGCTCCCCCCCAGCCTCATCTCCAGAGTATAATAGGGAGGGAAGGGGAAACACAGGCAGATTTGCAAGATTCTGTTTTTGTAGTCTATCTCAATAAAGTATAGTTCTATTCTTCCTATGGAGTCAGTTTCCTGATCTGGCCTACCTCACAGGGCTGACACCAATAGACAAATTTCTCTGTGAAGATTATAAGATTACTTAAAATGTTTAGTTAAAACATGTCATCATTCATCTAAATCAGGGTTCCCCAAAGTGGTCAATACTGATAAATGTCTGGGGGTCAAAAGGGTTTCAATAAATGTCTGGGGGTCAACAGGTGGTCGATAAATGATGGAAGGTTGACTGGGGTCAATTAATCTTTTGGGGTCTCTGTAGCCCTGAAGGTGAGGTGGCTAGCGGCGAGACAGTCTTACCCAGGGTTGGATGGTCAGCCACCAATGAGAGCAGCCTTGAGTTGTCTCTATTATTATTAGTAGTAGTCATTGTAGTAGTAGTGGTATTATTAGTTAAAATAGTATTTATTAAATTATTTTCATATAATAAATGTTGGGCGTCGATGAACAATCTGAAACTTCATGAAAGGGTCAATGAGCTGAAGAGTTTAGGGACCCTTGATCTAAATGCTTGTGACAGAGGCTTAAGGAATAGAACATAAGTGGATCTGTTTAAGGTTTGCTCCTGCATTTTTTACCTGATAGATAATCATATCTGTGAGGAAGATTCTCAACCAAAGCCAGGTATCTGTCTTCCAAGACACACAAATTCTTGTAAATTCTATAAAATGAAGCAAAGTAGATGAAAATATAAGATACTGTCTTTGAAACATAAGATTCACCAACTTAAATTTGATTATAAACACTCTTTGTATCTTGTTCTGGAAATTAAAAAATTGCCACAAGTTGCCCTTGCTCCTTTGAAAGATCAAAATATTTGATTTTCAAGGAGATTCATGATCAAAAAGAGAGCAGCTGCTATTGAAACCAATAGTAATAGATATATTTTGAAATTCAGTGAATCATCAGCCCAGTAAAAATGCAATAGCATGGATAGTAGTAAAGTAATTATTCATTGTTATTTAAGATTTTCAGCAAGTCTCATTCAAGGAAGGATTAAAGATGCCTAACTAATTCCCTGCCAAAAATCTAAGACCCAGATTCAAAATAAAGAAGAAAATTAACAAAGTGCAAAAAATTCTCTAAATATTTTTTCACATTATAGAAAAGGCAGGCAATGTGAAAGAGTTGATAGAATGCAAATATGCAGTCCTTGGAGTTCTCTGAGCTTGGCTGTTTTCTTGCAAACACTGTGTTACCTGCTAGGTAGCATCTTCAGTGCTAGATGTATTTATATGCTTACCTTTATCCAATGATTCCAATGAGTGTAGAAGTTCCCAGCTCTCTCTAGCCAACCTAAAGCTCTCTTGTACTTCAACTGAGTTTGGAAGATCTGTTGCATTTATTGTAATGAGCCTGTTTTTGCCCTTCCCAGAAGGATCTTCATCATCAGAGCTCTACTTCAAAGACAAAACATAAAAATCTGAGCAGTAGTCAACTGGACAAAAACCAAACAATAAAGCTAGCAGTGTTCTACTGTATTTTAAAACAACTGATTATCTCATCACTGATAGTAAGCATTGTCTTCAACCAAGGAGCAGGATAACTTTAAAATGTTAGTAGCTTTTATGGGCTCAAATGGTTTTACAGGGCAGATGGTATAACAGATTTTCTAGCATTTCAAAATGCCAGATACTAGTTTATCAACAAACATTAATATATCAGAGATTCTAGAACCATTTATTTAAAATGCTGCTTTTCTACTCCATCATCTACCTGAATCACATGTCCAAAGTATGCCAGTATCTGCTTGTTGTTCATTGCCTCAAGAAAATGTCATACATTTCTCTGAGGCAATTAACAGATATTAAATATATTTTTAATTCTTAGTGTCAAATAATACAAAATCAAGAGTAACTGATATATACCATGGAATGGAATTTCCAGTGTGAAATTACTGTGTCTGAATTATTATATAAGGCCAAATATTTATAGTTCTTTATTAAAATCAAAATTATTTATTTATTAGATTTATAAAATGCCTCATTCCAGGGTTTGCAGGCAAAGTACAGAGTCAAATACAATACAAAGCACAGAGCAAAAAAAACCCCCCTCAACAATAAAAAAACATAAGTAATAACCAAAAATAATGGTATGGATCTTCCTTTAGTTGCTTACTGCATATACTCACATATAAGCCCATCCGCGGATAAGCTGACCCTCAAATTCTTAACCAAAATACTGTGAAAAATGCACCACTCGTGGATAAGCCAACCCTCAAAATTTTTCTATGTTTTAATTTTTGCAATTGGCTTATCCATGGGTAATCCACAGAGTATGCATTTTTCTTGGTATTCTGGTTAAAAATTTGAGGGTCAGCTTATCCGTGGATGGGCTTATACACAAATATATAGGGGATATAAGAGTATGGTATTACCGTATATACTCGCAGATATGCCCATTCACAGATGAGTCGAACCCAATTTTTTCAGGGTATTTTGGCACCTAAAATTCTTGGCTTATTTGCGAGTATATATGGTAATCACCAAAGGCCTTCCAAAAAAGCCAGATTTTAACTACAGTGGGGCAAAAAAGTATTTAGTCAGCCACCAATTGTGCAGGTTCTCCCACTTAAAAAGATGAGAGAGGCCTGTAATTTTCATCATAGGTATACCTCAACTATGAGAGACAAAATGGGGGGAAAAATCCAGAAAATCAAAATGGGGGGAAAAATCCAGAAAATCACATTGTCTGATTTTTAAAGAATTTATTTGCAAATCATGGTGGAAAATAAGTATTTGGTCAATATCAAAAGTTCATCTCAATACTTTGTTATATATCCTTTGTTGGCAATGACAGCAGTCGTCCTGGTCCCTTTGCAGAAAAACAGCCCCAAAGCGTGATGTTTCCACCCCCACAGTCGTCCTGGTCCCTTTGCAGAAAAACAGCCCCAAAGCGTGATGTTTCCACCCCCACAGTCGTCCTGGTCCCTTTGCAGAAAAACAGCCCCAAAGCGTGATGTTTCCACCCCCACAGTCGTCCTGGTCCCTTTGCAGAAAAACAGCCCCAAAGCGTGATGTTTCCACCCCCACAGTCGTCCTGGTCCCTTTGCAGAAAAACAGCCCCAAAGCGTGATGTTTCCACCCCCACAGTCGTCCTGGTCCCTTTGCAGAAAAACAGCCCCAAAGCGTGATGTTTCCACCCCCACAGTCGTCCTGGTCCCTTTGCAGAAAAACAGCCCCAAAGCGTGATGTTTCCACCCCCAGATTTTCTGGATTTTTCCCCCCATTTTGTCTCTCATAGTTGAGGTATACCTATGATGAAAATTACAGGCCTCTCTCATCTTTTTAAGTGGGAGAACTTGCACAATTGGTGGCTGACTAAATACTTTTTTGCCCCACTGTATTCTCCAGAATGCAGTTGGGACTATTTTTGCCTCAGGGAGTAAGGTATTCTAAAGAAGGGGAGCAGCCACTGAGAATATATCTTGATCTACTACACAAGGTCTGAAATTTCTCCTTGGCAAGTTTACTTTCTCTATCAAACTATATCACAGTTTTGGAAAAAAAAGTTTTGAACAATGATACAAACCCTGCACCAAATTACATAATATTTATATAAAGAATGGGGGGGAAATCACCATTGTTTTCTCTCTCCCTTCAGCAAGTTTCCGCTTCTTGTGAACGTGTTTGCTGCGTTCGATATCTGTATCACCATAAACATTGGACACATCCTCTATGAGAACCAGTGGAACTTGGTTTGAAGCATTTGACCCTGAGTTTAACATGAAAACACTATTTAACTCAATCAATTTTAATCAATCAATTTTATTTTGGTCATAGACCAGCATATAACCAATGGCATAGCTCTTAAGCTACAGTAAGTATAAAAACAAAAATCATGTTAATAACATAAAATAGGATGTGGATAGAATTACTGAGATAAAATTGCAGTGTGAAGATATTATAAACAAAGAAAATCCTTTGTAGTTACAGTTA